CTCCAGGAATTGGTCCCTTCTGACAACATGACCAAAGTAGGTGAGATGAAGTCTGGCCATTCTCACTTCCAGGGAGAATTCTGGCTGCACTTCCTCCAGGACAGATTTGTTCCTTCTTTTATCAGTCCATGGTACTTTTAGCATTCTTTGCCAGCACCTCAAACATCAACTCAAAACATCAACTCTTCTTCAGCCTTCCTTATTCATTATCTAGCTCTCACATGCATATGAGGTGATTGAAAACACCATGGCTTGGGCCAGCTGCACCTTAGTCCTCAGGGAGACATCTTTGCTCTTCAGCACTTAAAAGTGGCCCTTTGCAGCCAATTTTTTCAGTACTATACATCATCTGGGGAGCTCTGGTGTTGTAGTGCCTAAGGTATTTGACTGTTAACCAGAAGTCTGGCAGTTCAAACCCACCAGCCACTCCTCAGAAGGAAAGTTTGGCAATCTACTTTCATAAAGATTCCACCTCAGAGACACAAGGACCAGTCGCTATGTGTCAGGTCCATCCTGACAGGAGTGTGTTTGCTTTGGTTTCTTATTTATACATCATCTGATGTCTTGATTGCTACTTCCACTGGCGTCGATCGTAGAATCAAGCATTGTGAAGTCCCTGACCACTTCAATCTTTTCTCTATTTATTGTGATGTCACTTATAGGTCCAGTTGTGAGGATTTTTGTTTTCTTTATATTGAGATGTAAGCCACACTGCAGAACGTATTCTTCAATCTTCATTAGTAAGTGCCTCGAGTCATCCTCATTTTCAGCAAGCAAAGTTGTGTTATCAGTGTATTGCAGGTTATTAATGATTGTTCCTTCAATCCTGATACCACAGTCTTCTTCATATAGTCCAGCTTATCAGATTATCTGCTCAGCATACAGATTGAACAAGTATGGTGAAATGATACAACCCTGACACACTCTCTTCTTGATTTTAAACCATGCAGTGTCCCCTTGTTCTGTTTAAACTACAGCCTCCTGGTCAACGTACAGGTTCCTCATGAGTACAATCAAGTGTTCTGGAATTCCCATTCTTCTCAACATTACCCATAATTTGTTATGATCCACATAATCAAAAGCTTTGCATAGTCAATAAAACACAAGTAAACATCTTTCTGGTATTCTTTGCTTTGAGCCAAGATCCATCTGACACCAGCAGATCTCTCATTCCATGTCCAATGTATATATATAGAGAGCTCCGTATTAAAGTGATTCAAATAAAATTATTGGGCAAGTAAAATTGGTCAAGTGTTAACAGACTAAGATAATTTTTTCCAGAAAAAAAATTACAAATACGCTCCCCAACTTAAATACTCTTGGTATAATATATAATTGTACCAACAAAAAGTTCCCTTTAACTCCCCTACAAAAGATAGGAAGCTGTTTGAATTTATGTTGGTAGTCACTCCTTCACAGAACAAGAGCAACCATAGGCTACATAAATAAAAGGAAAACAATAGGAGAGGAGTTTGACAGCAATTTATACATACCAATATAAATCACTGCACTCATACACATTCAAATAACTTTACCAATCAAATATGTTTCTGTTTTATATCTTGAGAAATTAAAGGAGAGAATCAAAAGATGAGGAGAGAGAAAGATTGATCAAGGGAGATGAATGTAGAAGTATGAGAGAAAGACAGAGACTGGTTAAAGGTAAGTAGCCAGAGGGCACATACAAGCAGGACTTGATACAAAGACAAAAAACAGAAGAGAGACAGGAGAACAGTGATGTGCTCATGGACCTAGGCACAGTGCATATAACATCCACAGAAATAAGTATCCAAAAATTTTTTTAAAAAACACAGAAATACCTTTTCAATAAGTAACACAATTCTCATAATCTTTCTTGATGAAAGCCACTAAAGATAATCAGAAGTGTTGTGCTTTTGCAACTACAGGTATGTGTTGCTTAATGTCCACGATACGTTCTGTGAAATAGGACATTATGTGATTTGGACAGTGAGGGAACACCATATTGAAACCTTATGGAAGCCTGCTTCTGGTTGTTCTCCGTGCTGCCACTGCCACTACTGCTGCTAGCAAAGGCTAGAGGAACACACAGTGGCTGAGGGGGAAGGGGAGGAGTAGAGAGGAAGCAAGTGGGGAGAGAGTGGAGTACACCTAGTAGGGATGCTGTTGCATCCATGTGACCAGCAGGAGCAGCCCAGCTGCAGACTCATCACTGCCACCCACCTGCCTGCTGGACAAAGCTTTGAGCCCAACCCAAAGCCACGTTCTCTTCCTCACCTGCCTGTATCACATCCATGGCCCAGTGCTGTGAGAATCTGTGCTCAAGGTCTTTAAAACTATTAGGGATAAATAATAAACAAAAGGAGAGCTGCTTTCTCCTTAAAAAAACCAACCAACCAACCAAACAAACAAAAACTTTAAGGGACCACAGATGCATATACAGCCACACGATACTCAAAGCAATGCTAAGTGATGCATACCTCTATAGGCAAAAGTGGAGTCATTACATCTTGGTATTAGTTAGTCCCCATAGCCAAACAACCAACCAAACAAAAAACATTACCGTCTAGTCTATTCTGACTCATAGAGGCCCTATGGACTGGGTGAAATAAAGCTAAGGGTGAACTCAAGACTCCCACACTACATAAATAAAAAGGATGTTACATTTTGTGCTGTATCTCCAAAAAAAAGGATATTAGAAATAATAAATAATACACCTTTTGCAGTTCTTTGACACTTCATGGACAGAAAAACCACTTTTCCCTTTTTATTGACTAAGAGGCATTCCAAAACTGGCATAGACTTATTTTTATTTAAATAAATCAGTCTTAAAACTGTAATTTTAACTTCAAATTGGCAGGACATCTTATTTTCTGCATTAAAAATGCTATACTTTAATTGTAGTAAAGTGTGAATCCTTTTATAATCTGAATTTTTAAAAGGTGTCACCCACCGGAGTATTGAAAAGAGAATGCCAATGTACTTCCTTGAAATATTGTAACAATATAGAGAACTTAAACATCTTCCACTTTTAGCCTAATAAAGTAAATGATATGAAAGTTCTGCCGTGATTCTTTTCTTTTACAAAATAACCATATTAAAAGTCTTACCATGGAGTGATAAACTTGTCAATTTCTTTCCTTTGGGGAAATAATATTGCAGATAAATCATTTATATGATTTTAAATCAAATACAAGATATTGACTGCCAATGAAATTGCTTTATTAAATTTGATCCATTTACTATACAAGAATTCTCTGAAAAATGGGGTATCAAATAATTTGGCTCTCTGCATCATAAAGGTTGTCTCCAAATGATATTATCTTACTATATCCTCTGAATGTCAGCATTCGTCTGATCAAAAAGTAGTAACATCTTTTCCGGGCATGACAAGTTTCCAATGACTTGCTCATGGCATTACAAGTCCTCCTAGAAAAGTAAAAAGTTCTGACCCCCATCCTAGGTAGTGTCATCTGCAGGAAGGTAAGCTGGATGGAGCACCTGGGCCAGACCTACATCTGTGCGTGGTGTGAGGTCCATGCAGGGTCAGCCTTGGGAAGGGCATCTTCCTCTCAACCAGAACTCTCCTTGGACTATTCCGAGACTCCATGGAGGGAAGAAACTTCTGGCAAAGAAGAGAGATAAAAAGGGAGAGAAAGAAAGAGAGAAGAACAGTCTTAATAATGAAAAGAATATACAAATGATCAACTTTAGCTGCACAGATGCCTAGCGAAAAGATGAAGAAGAAAAACAAGCAGTTTTGCAAAATGCTCTCTGGTACTGACAAAATCTGACCCGAATGCCAACTGTTACTGAGATATCATTTGTGAAGGCCACTCATTCTCTTACCAGGTGTGGGCGACTCTGCAAGGAGGTGCCTGTGGTTGGTAAACAGGTCTGTAGAATCTTGTTCCACTGATCTTTCCTCTAAGTCTGATTCTGGGATTGTAGTACAGCCACCTAGTAAAAAAGATACATAAACAGTATTTTAGGCAAAGTGTACAAAAATCTGCCTCTCCACATGGCAACCACAGCTTAGGAATGTAACAATCATAAAGATAATAAATGATGTGACAACAATCTTCAGGAGTGGACCAAGAAGAATAATCTTAAATCTCTCTCTTTGGTGAAAATACTGGGGATGAGTTATTGCCCCCAAAGACACGTTATACTGATTATAACTTGGCAACAGCAGCAACAGCATTGTCTTTAGATTTATCTTTTTTAAAGTCAAAATGGACAAAACCTATAGCAGATGTGATATTCATACTATAATGGGGCCTCAGCAGGAATTCCCTTTAATACCAGAGCATCGGAAACTATTAAAAAGCATAAAGCACATTGAACACAAGGGAAGAATACCTTCCTTGAGTAAAAAGGAAGGTAACTGGTGTTCTGAGACAGTGATTGAGGTGGTATTTTTCTGGAATTTGATTCTACCCTAGATTCCCAACACCTTACAACACAGACACAGACATTTCATGATTCAATAGCAAAGCCATGAATGGCACCGTGGAAGAATTCAATTCGATGGTGACTTGAAGATGAGCTGGTACCACTGTGCTTTTGAAACACTGGATGTAAGTCATTTGATTTAATCACAAAAGTCTTTTATGGGAAACTCAAAATCATGTGAGAATTTCCTGCACCTTGATATGACTAATTTGCCACCATTTCCTTAAAGGTACTAATATGCTGTAGACACTGTATGTTTTTATTTATTTATTTATTTTCCCCAAAAGCCATTTCTCTTGTTACTGAAGTGTGATTCCCCTCACCCTGCCCCTTTTTCTGAGGCTTCTCACAGACTGAGTCCAAAGCCTCGATACTTCAGTTTGGCTTTATTTGGGAAGGGTTTTAAGAAGCTCACATTATTCAGAAGAAAGAAGGTGCCAGTAGCCCTCATTTGAATGTCATTTTATTCAAAAGAGAGGGAAATGGCAAGATCCAAGTCTGAAGGAAAATATACTTGACTATCTATTCCTGTGCATCAACTCGGAAATTGAAATTGAAGCTGAGGGAAAAGAGAGAAAAGCAGTCCACACTCATAAAATAAGAATTAGAGGTTGCCTCAGAGGTTCCTCAAGCAGGAAAAGATAGAACTATCCATCAACATCATGGGCCTCCCCCAGCTATATCTGAACACTGCAAGGGCCTCATAGAGAAGAGCAATCAGGTTTATTTTAAATCTCTATCAAACCATTATCAATCACAGTAACAATAAATATCATTCTTGAACACTGTCTAAGTACAAGAAACTCTGCCCATATTATCTTACTAATTCCTACAAACCACACCATGAAATCAATACTAGTATTCTAATTTTTCAGGTAAGAAAACTGATGTCTCAAGAGATTTGGTAACTTGCCAAGGTCACCCAGCTCCAAAGGAATAAGATAGAACTCCCATCCATGCCTCACACCCCATCAGCCTCTGTCATGCTCATACCTCTGTGTTATATGGCTTTCAGTGGCAGCATGAGCCAAAGAGACCATGGTTGCAGGTGTCAGTGCCGCCAAGAAGCTTGATCTCATCTGATGACACACTGACTGTAGCTGCAGCCCTGCTTAGAGTATTGTGAGGCCAGGGACATGTTCAGTGATGCTGAAACTTTTGCTAGAGCCCAACTAGTGCCATCCATCTACTTCTCCTGGATGCTCATCCAGTTCAGAAAAAAGGAAAGGGGTAAGTGTTAGAGGAGAAACTGGGGTGGGGGTGCTACCCATACAAGACTAATGGAGAAAGAACAGAAAGAAGGGGTGTGTTCCCTGAAGAACAGAAGGCTGCTGTTCTTGTTGTTAGGTGCTGTCAAGTTAAGTTCTGACTCATAGTGACCCATGTACAACCCATCAAAACACTGCTGATACTGCACCATCCTCACAATTGTTGTTACACTTGAGCCCATTGTGGCAGCCACTATGTCAATTCACCTCATTGAGGGTCTTTCTCTTTTTGCTGACCTCTACTTTACCAAGCATGATAGCCTTCTCCAGGGACAAGTCTCTTCTGACAACATAACCAAGACAGATTTGTTCATTCTTCTGGTAGTCCACGATACCTTCAATATTCTTTGCCAATATCATAATTCAAAGGCATCAATTCTTTTTCAGTTTTACTTATTAACTGTCTAGCTTGCACATACATGAGGTAACTGGAAATACCATGGCTTGGATCAGGTGCATCTTAGTCCTCAAAGTGACATCTTTGCTTTTTAACACTTTACAGAGGTATTTTGCAGCAGATTTGCCCAGGGCAATACATTGCTTGATTTCTTGACTATTGGTTTCATGGGCATTGACTGTGGATCCAAGTAAAATGAAATTGTTGACAGCTTCAATCTTTTCTCCATTTTTCATGATCTTGCTTATTGGTCCAGTTTTGAGGATTTTTGTTTTCTTAATGTTGAAGTGTAATCCATACTGAAGACTGTAGTCTTTGATCTTCATCAGTGTTTCAAGTCATCTTCACTTTTGGCACCAAGGTTGTGTTATCTGCATATTGCATGTTGTTAATGAGTCTTCCTCCAATGATGATGCCACATTCTTCTTCAGACAGTCCAGCTCTTCAGATTATTTGCTCAGCAAACAGACTGAATAAATAAGGTGAAAGGATATAACCCTGATGCACACCTTTCCTGATTTGAAACCAGACAATATCCCTGTTCTGTCCAAACAACTGTTTCTTGATCTATGTACAGGTTCTATGGGAGCCCAATTAAATGTTCTGGAATTTTTATTCATCGCAATGTTACCCATAATTTGTTATGATCCACACAGTCGAATGTCTTTGCATAGATACTAGAACACAAGTGAACATCTTTGTAGTATTTGTGTTCAGCTAAGATCCATCTGACATCAGCAATGATATTCCTCCTTCCACATTCTCTTCTGTACCCAGTTTCAATTTCTGAAAGTTCCATGTCAATGTACTGCTGCAACTGTTTTTTTACATTATGTTTAGCATAATTTTACTTATGTGTGATGTTAATATTGTTTGATGATTTCCACATTCTGTTGGATCAATTTCTTTGGAATAGCTATAAATGTGGATCTCTTCCAGTCAGTTGTCCAGGTAGCTGTCTTCCAAATTTCCTGGCATAGAAGAATCAGCTCCTCCAGAGACGCATCTGCCTGCTGAAACATCCCAATGGGTATTCTATCAATTCCTGGAGTCTTGTTTTTCACTAATGTCTTCAGTACCACTTGGACTTCTTCCTTTGATACCATGATCTTGATCAGCTGCTACCTCCTGAAATGTCTGAACAATGACCAATTCTTTTGGGACAGTGACACTATGTATTTCTTCCATCTTTCTTTGACTTCCCATGTCATTCAATATCTTGCCCACAGAATCCTTCAATATTGCAACTCAAGACTTGACATTTTTCTTCAGTTCTTTCAGTTTGAGAAATTCCTAGCATGTTCTTCCCTTTTGGTTTTCTAACTCCAGATCTTTTCACATTTCATTATAATACTTTGCCTTCTTGAGCTGCTCTTTCAAATCTTCTGTTCATATCTTTTACTTCATAGTTTCCTCCATTTGCTTTAGCTACTCTATGTTTAAGAGAGCAAGTGTCAGAGTCTAATCTGACATCTATTTTGATCTTTTATTTCTTACTTACTTGTCTTTTTAGTAACTTTTTGCTTTCTTCATGTATGATGTCCTAATGTCATCCCACAACTCATGTGGTCTTCAGTCATTAATGTTTAATGTGTCAAATCTATTCTTGAGCTGGTCTCTAAACTCAGGCAGGATATAGGCAGAGTTGTACTTTGGCTCTCATAAACTTGTTTTAATTTTCTTCAACTTCAACTTGAACTTGGATATGAGCAAATGATGGTCTGTTCTGCAGTTGGCCCCTGGCCTGGTTCTGACTGATGATATTGAGCTTCTCCATCATCTCTACAGATGTAGTCGATTTGATTCCTGTGAGGTCTACATGCATACTTGTTTATGTTGTTGAAAAAATGGTATTTGCAATTAATAAATCATTGGTCTTGAAAAATTCTACCATGTAGTCTCTGCCTCATTTCTTGCACCAAGGCCATATTTTCCAACTACCTATCATTCTTCTTTGTTTCCAACTTTTACATTCCAATCATCAGGAATTATCAATGCATCCTGATTGGATATTTGATCAATTTCAGACTGCAGAAGTTGGTAAAAATCTTCAATTTCTTCACCTTTGGCATGAGTGGATAATGCATAAATTTGAATAATAATCTTATTAACTGGTCTCCCTTGTAAGTGTATGGATATTATCCTATCATTGACTTCATTGAACTTAAAGATAGATCTTGCAGTGTTCTTTTTGATAATGAATATGAAGCCATTCCTCTTCAGTTTGTCATGCCCAGCATAGTAGACCACATAAGAGTCCAATCCAAAATGGCCAATACCAGTCCATCTCAACTCACTAATGCCAAGGATACTGATCTTGATACATTTCATTTTTGATTATTTCCAATTTTCCTAAATTCATATTTTTTAAATGAGGACTAAGATGTGCTGACCCAAATCATGGTGTTTTCAATCATGTCATGTACACGTGAAAGCTAGAGAATAAATAAGGAAGATCAAAGAAGAGCTGATGTATTTGAATTATGGTGTTGACAGAGAATATTGAATATACCATGTATAGCCAGAAGAATGAAAAAAAATCTGTCTTGGAAGAAGTATAGCGAATTCTCCTTAGAATGAGGAAGGTGAGACTTCACCTCACATACTTTGAACTTGTTATCAGGAGAGACCAGTCCCTGGAGAAGGACATCATGCTTCATAAAGCAGAGAGTCAGCAAAAAAGAGGAAGACACTCAATGAGATGGACCAATGGAGTGGCTTCAACAATGGGCTAAAATATAACAACAATTGTGAGGATATTGCAGGACCAGGCACTGTTTTGTTCTGTTGAATATAGGGTTGCTATGGGTCAAAACTGATTTGATGGCACCTAACACAAA